TACGTGCGAATTGTGACCACACCGAATATTGATGATACCCTCCCATTTGAAGAGTCCGAAGTCCCGTCTGCCGCATGTGTCACACCTGTCGGGGTCCCCGTGTCCAAGGTACGTTGCCACCACTCGAGCTCTGGGCCTCGCAGAACCGATGCGCGTAACTAATACGCGCGGCGTCATCGTCAACGTTTGCAGAAGTGAAGAAGACCTCCACGCCGAACAGCCACCCCTTGACTGTAGTACCCTTGCCCATAGGGTTAAACGGGGGCGGCCTCGTGGGCTTGATCTTGATCGCCGTAACTGCAATTGCTTTTGTCGGCGCTGTCCACCTATCGCCTTCTTTGACGCCTCATGGGAGCTCGCCAGTTGCATTAGGGTCGCTCACTACTTGACTGGTGGTTTCGTCATCTTCGACGGGCGACTCCTAACGCGCTTCACCTCGCGCCTGGCGTAGCTCATTGTTTTCTTCACGTAGTCTCTCCACCTCTGTCGTTAACGCTTTCATGCCTGCCGACATTTTCGCCGCTTGCTGCATCAACTCGTTAAATGCCGCCTGATCCATGTGTCGCAAGCTTCGTCTAGAAGGCAACAGGGTATCCTAGACTATCCGACAACAGTACAAGCGTAAGAGCTATCGGAGTCGGGCAAGCTTAATTTAATAAACTTTGTCTTTCCCTAATTTAGCATGGCTTTGATTCTCTCCTGTTCCATCCCTTTCTGTCTTTCCCTCTTCATTCCCTCTCCCATTCCCTCTCTCATTCCCTCTTCTGCTCCCAACAAAACACCCATGGATTAAAGTGCTAACGTAACGGGACTTGGTGATGTGAATGCAGAAGACAGGGAATTTAGATGTTTTAAAACACATGAAGGAAGAAGACAGTAGTCAGGGTCCCAGTGGTTAAGAGCATTCAATCACTTACATAATCATCTTCAGCTGTGGTTTCAACAAATGTGGTAAAGTGTGTGTGCTCTAAATCGGGAAAGATAAGAGGGTGTGGTGGTGTGGGAGAGGAGGAGCAAGAGCAGGAGGGATGGTAGGGAGGAAGGAGGGGAGGAGGGGAGGAAATCCGAATAGTGGCCGGTTCGCTGCTATCCAAGCACCTTGATTGGGTTTTCTGAATTGGTCATGGCATGGGTGGGTGGCAATTGCGGCACCACAGCAGATGCTTTTTGAGTCGACTCGAAGTTTGGGTGTGGCATCAATGGGGAGAGCAGTGTTTTACAGAAACAGGAGAGCCAGTGCACATGCCTTTTGAGTCGACTCAAAACTGGGGTGCATTTGCCCTTCATGCCATTTGGCTTTTTTTCCGCCCCTTATTTTACCTTGGAGGTTTCCAGCATTTCTTTTTTTGCACTTTCGGTAAAGGTGTTCTTTTTGTGATCCATGAATCACCTATAAATATCAGATTGTTTGTGACAATAACGCAATTCGACCTTTGGATTAACATTATGCGCTGGTGCTTTCTCTGAATACATAATAGCTCTGAAAAATCATGTTATCTTACCACAGCTTTACCTTCACTTTAGCTGATGCCAGTGGGGTGGAGATTTTGTAGCCTGTCCTTTAATAAAGGGTACCGGCTTTCCTGAGCAGCCTCAGGCCGCCCGTCGCCACCTCAAGCCTCCTCCTGTCACTGCTGGCACATTGATTTGGGAATAGACTGTTACGCTGCAACCAGTTCTTGGTGACTGCGTCTGTGTCGCATGTCCGATACAGTATCCTTGTGCCAGCGAGACGAGATGAGACGGAACAAGCTGTTTGCTTACTCCAGCGTGGAGCCCACCGTTCTGAACCGTAACAGCCCTCCTCTTTTATATGTAAACCGTATTTTAGCGTATATGCACCACACTCTGAGACAATGGAAAAGGCACGGACCCTCAGTGAACTAGGGCTGCTGCCTGGCCCGTCCTTTCCCGCACGCTGAAACGATTCGATACGGCAAGATGGATGTGCGGGACAGGCAATGCTCTCATGATTCATCTCCCAAGTGAACGTGTCACCTCCTCAGGGCACAAGATCCCCCGTGTCATCGTGCCGCGCCCAGCCCGCAATGCTTCCATCATTTGAGTCCTTCCAGATCGGCGCAGATGCATCCAAGCCACTCAGCTGCACAACACAGCTGGCAGACTCTGTGTTCCTGAATTCCAATTCCCCCCAAACCTCCCTTCAAAAACCGAGCCCGAACCAAATCCAAACCTGTACCGCGTCGCGAGCGCGTCTCACATCCGAATCAAAACCCATGAAATTTATCCAGACATCGGTTCTGTGCGGTTTCGTTGGGGAATTGCGTTAGTAGCTTCCAACCACATGACATGAGCCACGTGTGGAAGAGTGCCATTTACTGTACACAGATCTGGATCCACCTGGCTTTCTGATTCCGCCATTCAAGCCGCAACAAGAACGCGGTTCAGGTGAAAGCTGAGCTTTTTCATTTCGTCGAGTTATTTTCAATTTAATTTCATGCTCGAGGAGGCGTGTTGAGTGGATAACGCAATCCAATCCAGAATTCTCGCTTAGTTGCTACGTGACTAGCGTCTCTGAACCATTTCCCAGTAGCATTGAAATTCGAGGGAGCAGTTTTAGGAATCAGCTAATCGGAGCTTCAGTCATTGTAGCGATTTAGTCCAGAACGAGTCACCCGCAGATGGCTCTTGTGCAGCAGCGCTCTCAGAGGCGACTATCTCCCGCCGTTGGTGCCGCGATCGGTTCTTACCAGCCGCCAAGTCTCTACGGCGCCGCGCCGGGGGTGGCGATGAACGCGAGACCGCAGCTCGCGCCGCAAGGCGCGCAGCAACCAGCGCCGATGAAGGCAGAGCTTCAGCTGGCGAAAGCGCAGGAGCTTATGCGGAAATTGAACAAGCCGGACCTGCACGAGAAGCAGCCTCCCCCGGAAAACGACAAGAAAGAGAAGAAGGACAGACCGCGGTTATCGAATCACGACCTGCAGCAGCTTGTGAACCCTAATCTTTCTAAGATGAAGGGCGCTCCGGCTCTGTCGAAGCTGCAGAGGCAGTCCTCTGAGATGACGAGTCAACAGAATGGTACCGCGTGCCATCCGTCGCAACACGCGGCACAGTTTCAGCAGCAAAACAGGCCGTTAGGGCAACACGGACCGGGAATTTCTATGGGGGAAGCTTCCCCGCAACTGAACAAAAACACGTCGCTGCCGGTTGGGAGGAAAAACGCGGCTCCTATGGGAGTTGCTGGTCTTCCGAACCGAAGCAGCTCCGCTGGTATGGTGGGCCCGAACCAGCAAGGTAGGTTCGGGGCCCCGAAGGGTCAAGCGCCCGGACCTGGAGGTTTAAGTCGGCGAGTAAGTCTTCCGGCCGGGTTTTCAGGGGAAGCTGATGTGGGGTATGGCTCGCAAGCGCAACTGCCGCCGCAATTGTCGCCGCACGGACCGCCACAGTCATCGCCGCATGGACCGCCGCAGTCATCGCCGCATGGACCGTCGCAGACATCACCGCACGGACCGCCGCACGCATCGCCGCGAAATGCGGGCCCGCCTCCGCTGAAGAGTCCCGTGGGTGCGGGAATGCGGTCGCCCACATTTTCCCGGAGCGAATTTGGTGGGTGCGGAGGAGGGATGATGAACGGAACGGGGGCAGAAACACGTTCGTTAAGCAGCAACAGGTCACTAACGAGGATGCTTGAATGCAAGGAGGTTAGTGGCGATAGTAGCCCGCGAGTTTCGGGGGCCAGGTCCACCCGGGAAGGGCAACTACGACCAGAAATTCCTCGACGTGGTTCGATTGATGACGAGCGCTTTGGCGCGGGATGTGATTATAACGAACAGGGAGGCCCGAATGCATCCGCGGTTGGATACGCGGAAGACGGGGATATGTACGGCGAAGCTGAGACGGCGGAACGGGAAGAGGGGGAACAGGGGGAGGCGTGGAGTGAGCGGAGCGCGGAGGACGCGCGGAACGTTTGCGGAGCGGCGCCGTCAGGCGCTCTCAGGTCTCCGCACGCGGCCACGTCCCCCATTTCCGCTTCCCCCAATGACGGATTTTCTTCCGCAAGCGCGTCCTTTTCCCCGCACTGTCCGTCCCCGCAATGCCCGTCCCCGCGCCTTCGCCCGCAGCGGCCCCGTCGGAGCGGCTCTAACGTGGACCAACTGTTAAGGACGTCCTTAGAAGACCTCCAGGCCGACTCGCGGAATTGCAGGAGCCTCTGCAACTCCAATAGTAGCTCGCCAAGTGTCAGCCGCTGTGACAGCGTCGACGCTACTAACGACGGCCCCTTTAGTAGTACCGGGGAGGCTAATAGCGGGGATGGGGCAGCCGCTGCCGCGGCTCGAGGAAGATCCAGGCTCGGCCCGAGCCGGCAAGCCAGCCTCATCTCAGGCTCCGCCGCCGCCGCCGCCACTGGCGCTGGCACGGGTGGCGCTGGCGCTTCAGCGGGAATCGCGCGGGTTTCTGGTGCTTCGCAGCCCATGGCGCTAAGCGCCGCGGCCGCGCGCAAGTCGCTCCAGAACTTGCGTAAGAACCCCGCGCCCGGGGGCGGAGGTGGAGTGGCAGGGCCGGATTTCTCGTCCTCCGCGCCGGCCGGCGCGCTTGCCGGCCCGCGATTGGCGGCGGGGCAACAGGCGTCGCCAGCTGCACGGGTCGGAAAAACGGCGGTGGCGCGCACGCAGTCGTTGGATTGTTCGAGCGGGGCGCATTTGGGGAAGTTCGTACTTAAATCCCGCGCCGCGTCGGTCGATATGGCAGGCGTGGCCGCACAAGCCGCTGCAGCAGTAGGGGCGGCAGCAGCAGGAACAGCGGGGGCGACGGCGACGGCGACCGGAGCGGCAGGAGTGCCTCCGGTGGGTGGGAAGGTCCCCAAGTCCTTCTCCGCAACTGGCGCCGCTTCTTTCGGCGGAAAAGCCTCTCCGGCCGTGACACGTGTCGCGCGCTCGCTCTCCTCCCTCTCCAGCGAGCTCGGCGCTTCTTCCGCTGCTTCTGGTAGCATCAGCAGCGGCAACGGCGGCGGGAATAGCGCCAGAATCGACGGCGGGAAGAGCGGGATTGGCTCCATCGCCGCAGCGGCCGCCGCGACTGCCGCGCTAGACGACGAAGTCTGCAGCGTGGAGGAGATTCGATCTGCGTTTTACAAAGCCAAGGGCGGCGGGAAGGGGATTCTAAGGTTCGCCATGCGCGGACTCTCGCAATTGTCAGGGATGCTGGGAGGAGGGGGCGGCTTGACGGAAAACGTTCTGGGAAGGGAATTTTCCGCAATTGAGAAAAAATATTTCGTCATGATGGATCAGGAGCTTGGGGCGGGCCAGTTTGGCGTGACGCGAATGGCCAAGTGCAGACAAACGGGGAAGCAGTTTGCGTGCAAGTCTATCTGCAAGGCAAATCTCAAGGTTAGTTGCATTGCTAGCAGATTTGTTGTTTGCTGCTGAACCCTCCCCTACTCCTTTCACTCTCGTCTGCTTCTCTAGCTCACTCGTTTCACTCATTTCCTACCCTCACCTACTCCTTTCCCTCATCCACTCCCTTCTCTCACTCCCTTCCCCTCTCGTTCCCCTTCCTCTAGCCCCCCACTCCCGACCCAATTACAACAGAGCAGGTCGGACTTGGAGAATATCAGACGGTCAGACATGAGGTTTCGATGCTTGAGACCTTAAGACCCAACCTAAACATGGCTTTCCCCTAAACATCGTTCCCCGATACTTTTGCCCTGACCCCTTTTGACAGAGCAAATCGGACTTGGAGGATATTAGAAGAGAGGTTTCGATGCTTGAGACCTTAAGGCCCAATCCGAACATTGCGCGGCTAGAAGAAGTGTTTGAAGATGAGGAGGTGAGGAAAGAGAATCTGAGGATGCACGTTGACTTACACATGCACATTGTGAGGCACTTCAGATATGATTTATGGGTTGACATTGCGCGGCTCGAGGAAGTGTTTGAAGATGAGGAGGTGAGGAAAGAGAATACTCGGATGCACATTGACATACACTTGCACATTGTGAGGCACCTCACTTGTGTTGTATGGCCTGATCCTGACATTGCCTGGCTTCAGGAAGAGTTTGACGATGAGAGGGTGTGAGCACGAGGATGTTCATGCACATGCACAACCACATGCGCATACGCTCACATGCACATGCAAATCTACGTTCACTTGCATGCACACATTGATATGAACTTGCACATGCACATACACATACACATGCACAATCACATGTGCACGGACATGCACGATGCATCATAACAGCACCTTCTCGTGCCAACCACTCACTTCCTCATTTACTCACCCGTCACCTTATCTTCCTCTCCCCTTTTCCAGGGTGTTCACATGGTGATGGAACTATGTGTTGGAGGAGAGCTCTTTGACAAAATAAAGGAAAAGAAACGATACGAGGAGAGAGAAGCCGTCCCCGTAATGCGAACCATTCTCGACGTGCTCGCATTCTGCCACATGCGCGGCATTGTGCATCGCGACATCAAGCCCGAAAACGTCCTCCTTACAAGCCCCGACTCGATAACCGAATGCAAGCTCATCGACTTTGGCGTGGCTACTGTGGTGAAACCCGGCGCGAAGCCTCTATGTGACTTTGTCGGATCGCCGTTTTATGTCGCGCCGGAGGTGATAGAAGGGAGCTACGGAATCCCGGCTGATGTGTGGTCAGCAGGGGTTGTTCTTTACGTGCTGATCTCGGGTGTTCCACCATTTTGGGCACGCACTGATGCTGGAATTATGAAGGCAATCAAGGAGGCGAAGCCGTGCTTTAAAGGGGAGGCATGGCGTGATGTATCGTTGGAGGGAATGGACCTTGTAAGGAGGATGTTGACACGGGATTCGAAGAAGCGACTAACAGCTCGAGCTGCTCTCGGTACGTGGACATGTAAATTACGTTGCTTTCCCCCCAAAACCGTCTGATTAATGGCTGTCTTCATGCCTGCCAGTTTCGTCATCTCCCTGTCTCACACAATTTTGTGTTTGCCCAAACCAACATATAATCCCGTGCAGAGCACTCTTGGTTCTCCGTTTGGAATGACTGAGGCACACGAAGCAACCTTCATACCCAAGCTTTTATAGCATGTAGAAATATTCCTATGTGTATAAAATGCTGCATAAATTTATGATTCGGCCTGAACGAGTACTCTCCTCACACTCGGAATGGAGTGTGACTCAGGTTGATTTGTTCCGGCTATTGCAAATGTTTGTGTTTATGCATTGTGAAACACTACTTTACACTGTGCGTTGTCCACACGTGTTCAGCATTCGTTAATGTGCGGTTATAAAGTGGATATCAGTCGTGAGAGCTGCATTCCTTACGTCAGCATGCGGCCTTGTTTATGCATATTTGCATGGCTTGCCTTGCGCGCGCATGAAGTCAACGAAATAGCCACCTGACTTTGCCTGACGCTTCCTTCCACCGCTTGTTGTGGCTGGACAAAGCAGATGGCAAGCAGGCACGGTCCTCGCTTTGCGAGGAAATGACGGAGCGCCGTCTTTTCTAGTTTCCAATTCCAATGGGCAGTGGTTTTGACAGCACATCGCCCCGCGCTCGCGTCCAATACCTTGGGGCATATTATTTCTCCGTTTCCCCTTTTGAGTCCACAAATACAGATTGTTTCTATGTCACGAGATATTCCAAATTATCTTCGAGTCCCTAGCAAGTGCGCAGCTCGGGACAAAAGAAAATAAACCCTCATGGATGGTATGCCACGTAAAGGGCATCAACCCTAAACACCGTGAGGCAGGTGTTTAGGGTTGATGCCTTCTCATCCGAGTGGGTTTTAGGTTTGCTACTGGCCTCCATACTGAAACCAGGTAGACTTAGTATTTTTCCTTCTATACGTCTGGTCACGAAAAATGGGAAATTGCAAATAAAACTGCCCGCGGGAATTGGGCGCAAGCGCAAAGGGAGTCGCTGTCAAAGCCACTACCGAAAGGAATCGAAAACGCGCAAACACGGCGATCCGTCATTTCATCTCGCTTTGCGCAACACCGCCGCTGGCCGTCATGTCACATGGGCGTTGGCACCAACAATTGATTGCCTTCCGCTGGTGGCTCAGGTTCTCTACGGGCCCGGAAAGCTGGCACCACACCTCAGGCTCCGAGGGCTGGAAGATTTTTGAAGGGTCAAGAGAAGTTAGATGCATGAACGGTACAACAAGGGTGTCTCTTCTGTACTTGAATCCTCACTTCGAACTCCACTTTGACGGGAAATAAGAGTCTGCAGCAGCTCCACAGTTCATTTGAGGTACACCACAGTGCATTTCAGGCAACCCTTTGAAACCAGGAGTGTCGGAAACAAACACCTTGAAAACGTATTGAATTTAACCATTTGTCTGCTTTGTCACTTGCACCGGCCTCCTTCACCCGTGCTCTCACCTTGTTGCGCTGTACAGAACCCAGTCGCGTCAACAGCTGTCACATATTGACCACTGTGCTCCTGATGGAACTTATGTGGGCGGAAATTCTCGTTTTGAACCCTTGTCGCCTGTTACTGCACCCGCACTATGTGCTACTACAGAGACAGCTGTTCTCACACTGTGCAACGCTACAGTCTTTTTTGTATGGTCACTGAGGGCTCGCGTTTCATGTTGGATTGGAACCACTCTATAATTATAGGGTTAATCTCACCCCAGCTCTTGAAAACAACAGGGAGGCAGGCAGGAGTACGGCAGGGACTGACTTGCAAAATTGCCCACTAACCTATCAGTATGAGTGGCAAAACAAGATGCAATTGGAGAACTCCATCGAATGCATGGCAGTGAACTTGGAAGCCGCATATTGCTTAGCAACACTTGCATAATACGAAAATTACCGAGAACCAGATGCAGCAAGAAGCAGCCGAAACGTCCAGTCTATAATTTGAAGTGTTCTGGGACAACCTACCTTGAAGTTAAGGCATCGTCAAACCCGCCCGGAACCGCTTTCGTGCCACCCATAATTTCCCATCCCGCCCCTGCACCTCCCTTCCTTCCCATTTTCCCACCTCCCCGCATTACGTGTACACCGAACTGCTTGATGGCTGCTCAATTGAATCACCCCACTGCGACAAAAAAAACAGCTCCTCCCTCTGTGTTACCTCGCGTTGTGCGAATTCCAACACCCCCCCAGACCCCTCCCACCCACCCACCCTGCTCTCCTTTCATCCATGGCTTTCAGTCTGCCCCTGCCTGACTCTCCTAAAAGCATCTTGGGGCGCTCAGCTTTCTTCCACAGGCCAACCAAGCCCAGCTAATAAACTACCCCACCCTCCTCGATCGTATCCCATTTCTACCATCCCGTTAGATTACATCGTCGTTCTTAGATTTTTCACTAAGCTGCTGTGCTGTACAGTTTAGGTCTCCACTCTATCTGTTGCACTAACAGTGTCATGTCAGCTGAAGTCGCACTGCTGGTTGAGCGGCATTCCAGAGCTCAACAGCCCTTTCCGCGCGATCCCGCAGAACCTCGATTAGAATTACCACCTCAGTTCAATTCACGACCAGATTTCTTACCGTCTCATTCGCCGGCGCCGCGTCCGCATCCTGTCGACGGCCGGTCGCGCTCCGTTCGCCAATACGCGGATTCCACGGCTCCACCCGCATCAGCTTCCAGATCGCGCGCCGCCACGACCGCCGCGAGCTGCGGCGCTGCTCCCGACGAGAAATTCGGTGCCATGACCGAGTCTGCCACGTCAGCGTCTTCGCCAGAGGCGGCCACATACCCTTCAGCATACACCCCTCATGCCGCGGCTCGTCCATCAACGTATAGTAGCTGGGGCGGCGCGTTGCACGGCAGAGCGGCTAGTTTTGACTTCGTCGCTGTACCTAGTAGCGGGCGGCACACGTCAGCATCGAAGAAATCCAACGTGGCTTTCGTGAGCCACCAGAAGCAGCCATCGGAGCAGTTTGATTCGCTAACCGCCGCTCGATTGTGGCTCCATTCTCCTTCGCTCGCCTCTAATGAAAGCGCTTTCGCAACTCCTTCTGCCGCCGCATCTCCCGCTGTATCATCCCGCAGCGCATTCCCGAGTCGCCCCGATTCGCCGCAGAAAACGGCGCCGCGCGCATTATCCCCAGAAACGCCGACAATGCCGCAGCGGGCCCGCGCCGCGAAAAGCACGGTTACATCAGCGATGCCGCCCTCGAGAAGCGAGAAAAGCGCCGACAACACCGCTCCTGCCGCCGTTTCCCGCGCCGGCGGCGTCTGCCGGCCGCGGCCCTCGCCGAGTCGGCGGACGGCACTCGGGATCGCCGACCTAATGGCCCTCCAGGCCGGTAGGTCTAAAGTCGGCGGCGACGGCCGCGGCTCGGGCACCGCGGCTCGAACGAGATCGACCCCAGCGGCGACAGCGGAGGCCGCTGCTGTTCAGCCCGGATCTGCGCCGCGTCCGACGGCTTCGCCGCCTGCGATGATTGCGCCGCCCGCGCGCTTGCCGCCGCAGAGTGAGGCACCGTTCTGTTTCCCCTCAATCAGCCAAATCAACGGCGCCAATTCTTCGCTTTCTGTGTTTCCTCCCTCCGCGTTTTCCGGTACGGACGCGCAATTTGCGCTGCGCAAAAGCCCCCCGCATGCTAATCCACGCGGAAGCGCTGCGATGAGGTTCCCCCGGTCCATGTCAGACGGGCACGCTGTGCCACGTGGCAGCAGCAGAGCAAAGCCCGCTTTCCCGATAGTCGCACGAGCTGAGACAGACGATGCGACTGAACCTTCGGAGTCGGATTGCGGCAGCGCCGGTTTGCCGAGCCTGCACCAAGCCTGTGCGTCTGGTTCGGCAGTGGTGGAGAACCGCGGGGCCGCACGGGTCGGGAGGAAGTCGAGGCTCGGGCAGGGATGGGATGGGAGCGGCAGCAACAGCAGCAGCAGGGACTCTAGCCCCTCTGGCAGCATCGACATGGCGAAATGTGATAATAATGAGTGTTCCGAAAACAACGACGAGGAAGCAGCTGCCCAATCGCGTGGGGGCGCGGGAATGGCGGGTGCGGGAATGGCGGGCGCGGGAATGGTGGGCAGTGGAAGCGGTCGCAACATCTCCAAATCATTCCCTGTCATTGCCATTCCAACCGATCAGAACTCCTACACCTCTCCTTCCTCCCCCACGTTCCGCCTCTCGCCACTTGTCCCCAGAGGCCCTTCCCCCTTATCCCCGCGCGTGTCTTCCCCCTGTGGTCCCTCCCCCTTGTTCAACCGCCATCCTTCCCCCCTCTCCCCCTGCATGCCTCCGCCAGTCTCCCCCTGGGGCCCTTCCCCTCTCTCCCCGCGCGCTTCCCCCCTCTCCCCTCGTCGCCCTTCCCCACTCTCCCCTAGAGGCCCTTCCCCCCTTTCCCCCAGAGGATTCTCCCCCTTGTCCCCACGCCGCCAGTCCCCTCTTTCCCCCCGTGTGGTGGCCCCGCGCCCTTCCCCCTTGCACACTGCCTCTGGCCTTAGTTCACTGAAAGAACAACACTCGGCTGGATCTTCCTTTGCCGCAGCCTCTGCAGCTTCGGATCTGCAGATGATGCAGCAGCAGCAGCAGCAGCAGCAGCGGATATTTCAACAATTTTTGCAAATGGGCGTAAAAGATTTCAGGTCCATTTCAGCTCCAATGTCAGGAGCGGCAGCTGCAGCAGTAGTTTCAGCAGGGGAAGCTGCTTCAGCAGCATCACCACAAAGGAAATTCCCCAAGGGGAAACGGATGTTCCTGTCCCCTTTAGAGAGTTCTCCTGTATGCTCTCCAGACCTCCAGCGTGTGATGAATCGGAACCTCATATCAACTCGATCGGACAACAGTATTCTGCCGAACGGGGCCGGCTGGGCTACGGAATCGGCGGCAGCAGCAGTTGCGTGTGGCGTTCCCAAGTCGATACTTGCGCTGAAGGATGATGAAGGTGCAATCACTCGCACTCGGTCGTTGGACCGACGAGTTAGGTTTAACAGGGAGGTGGAAGTGCATGTTTTCTCCTAAGCCAATGTCGAGTTGGTGCATGCCAAGTTAGCTAGTAAGTGTTTGACACCTAGGATACCAATATCCGTCCTAAAACTTGCTGTAATTTCTTACATTGTAAAATGAACTATTATAACATGGTTCTGAGGTTCTTATTTATGTCAACATCTCCTACCCTTGGGAACTTCGTGATGTGACCCAGTGGAGGTGAGGCCAGATGATTGTTCTAGGTACGGTGTTGGTTTTCGCTGAACACCGCTCTCGATTAGTTTTAAACCGCTTTGGAACGGAAATCACCATAGTAAACGGCCGTCACACGTGCTTTCGAGACCTGCTCTGCCTGTCTCAATCATCATCACTAGCTGCTTTTGCCTTCTCAACACCAAGTGATGCTTTTGGTGGGACTAGTCACCTGTAACGGTCATTTCACGAATCCTGCGCATCCCTAGTCCCACTAAAATCATCGCCTTCACAATAAAAGCTGATAGTAACTGGTAGCTATTCGCCTGTGTTGACGTGTCATTCAAGTCACGTGACAGCACCGTGATCGTCGAGTCAACTTCCTTTTAAATGCACGCGCGTCGCGCTTTTCCTGTAGACTGAAGGAAAGGAGACAAGTACACGTTGCAAGCACACGTCATATCACTACAGGTCTTGTCGACTAATACTCGCAAACGCAGTGTATGCCATTTCACTTTCAGGCCTCAACTCGTCTGGTAAGTAGCGATTTAATGCTCGCAGATCAAACTGAACACGACACCCCCCGGAGAACAACTTTTGGGATGATGATGGCTTGACAGGACTGCGCGTGCCGTCGTGGCGACTAAGATCTCTAGGTAGAAAATATCTGTTCCTTCATTAGACACCCCGAGCATATTCCTCATTACCCGAGCATATTCAGTCGCTAATTCTGACATTCATGCAGGTCCTTCATATCCGGCAACTGATCGCATCTATAAAGCATCGCAGCGTCATTTTCCACCACAATTGTTTGTCGTACGATTCTAACAATCAAGCATTGCGCAGCTGTCGCAGTTGCATGATCAGCGGGAGCCCCGACTCGTGGGGTGCTCACTATAACTCCTATCATTCCAGCACAACACTTCTCAAATGACCTAAAACGGCATACCTCTCTAAATACCACAGCACGTTTGAGTGGCCGTGAAGCACCAAGCCAGCCATGGAATCGTCTGCAGCCATCATGAGGACTGTGAGTCACTCGCCCGCAGCAGCCTCTGCCTTCCTCGCCGCATCCGCCTGCCTCGTGCCCGCCGCGCACCTCTCCTGGGCGCTTCTCCGTGCGCTACAGTCACACTCCTTCGCCACTGTGACAACCTCCGCCGCGCCTCTCCCCCCCAGTGCTTCTGCCGGCGAATATGCATCCTCCGACCTTCTCTCCGACCTTTTGCCCTCCGGCCATCCACTCCCCGAACCTCCACTCCCCGACCCTCCACTCTCCGACCCTCCACCCTCCAACCCTCCATCTAGAGCCACCAGCCAAACCAAATCAGCAGGAGAGTCAAACGCAATGAGCATTCCAATCTGGCTCCGCGGCCTTGCCAAGTTACTTCCGCCCTGTGATCGCCGCCCAGCTCCTAATTTGACTCCTGCGTTCCACATCCTGAGCAAGTCTCCTGGCTACAACCAGAGCGGGTGCATTTGCAGTAGCTACAGCCAAAGCTGCTACAACCAGAGCGGGTGCAATCACAGCGGCTACAGCCAAAGCTGCTACAACCAGACCAGGTACAGTCAGGGTTGCAACAGCTGTATTTGTCACACCCAAGTCCCCACACCGTTACAAACCACTAGCACCAGAAAATATAGCGACATCTCAGTGATATATGCCGCCCAGCCTCTCCTACCGAACCTAACAAGCAGCAACGGAAATGGCTGGGCTGCCCCTCCCACGGAAGCGGGTGCATTGACATGCTATAGCAGTCAGCCAGCTGTGCATTTGCCCCCCAGATTGAACTGTGAGCCGCCAAACCTGGGAGCACATTTTGCTGCTTTCAAGGCACAAAGCCATTCCCGAACCTCATTGGCGAGCCTGTGATGCAGGTCTGGCTACAGCAATGTAACTCTAAATGCACAAGGCTAACCAATCCAAGTTTAAACCGTGTATCCCAAATGGCCATATGCTGTGGGTTTCAAGACTTCCGTAAGTGATATATTTGGAAGTGTGAGCAACTACAGAGCATCAAAGTTAAAGGTTGGGAGCAAGATGTGCTGGCTATCTTAGCTTGCATACCATATGGTGGTTCAGCATTGTAACAGAGGGCAGCAGGGGTTTTTTTTCCGTTTTTCACCACTCGGATTTTCAGGGTTGATTTTTTGGAAACTCTGAAAATCAGGGGTGATTGTGAGCGTTACTCTGATTTGTCAGAGAAAACTTAACTTCCCAAAAAAACCCTGTATAGTCAGTGTAACTATTTTCACTACTCTGAATGCTCTCTCCAAGTTTTGAACCCTGCACCCTGACGTCCCCAACATGAAGCATTGTTTTTCATGATCGCATGCGTGCAACTGACCATCTGACACCAGCAAACAAGTGGGCTACGCTCGGGGTGCCTGTACCCTGTACAGAGGAAACGGTAATCTCCTGAAAATTACACTGAGGCATCAGAGTCCCTTACAAGATTACTCTGACAAATCAGAGAAAAAAGTAACTCCCAAAAAAATTACCCAGCAAGAACAGAGTACCCTATCAAAACCACTCTGATTTTCAGAGAAACATGGTAATTTACTCTGATAAAAAAACCCCTGGAGGGCAGCCATGTAACGTGTTCTTAGAGTTGCATTTTGCACCCTTGCACAATGGATCAACCATCTCCTTGCATGACAGAGCACCACCTACCTACTTGCACATGCTCCAGCAAGTTGCTTTGCATGTCTTTACACATTGGGGAAGCATGGTAGCTGATGTTTCGCTAGATGGTAGCACACTTGGCACTTGCACACTGGCAGTTGCAAGAACACTAGCACAGTTGCAGGTGTATGAGCTGGAGGTTGAGAATTCTCAAAAGCCCATTTGCAGGACATACACTAGCACAAAGTGGCAAAAGCGCAGTTACCGTAAATGTGTATGAGCTGGATGTTGACATTCTCAAAACCGAATTTCAGCAAGCACACCAGCACATAATCGACAAAATCACAGTTGTAGGTGCAAGACATGTGATGGATTGCTCTCAACCGTTTCCTCTTGATTGAGCTGCACACGTGTATCTGTCTTGGCGGAACCCTGGTCCCTGAGTGTTGCCTCCAAGTGTTTTGAAACGTCTAGAAACTCCCTGTTGTCCCAATAAATTACAACGGCCCGTTGAGTTAGTGCCTTGATCCTTGGGTGTTCTTTTGAGGCGCATCAAAAGGGCATGTTAAGTTAGAGCCTTGATCCATGGGTGCTCTGTTGGGAACGCAGAGAGGGAATGAAAGAGGGAAGGGGAGAGGGAGTGAGAGAGGAGGGAACAAAGGCCTCGTTTTTCCCACAACATTACAAAGGGCCATTAAGTTAGCGCCTTGATCTATGGGTGTTCTATTGAGAACGCGAGTTGAAATGAGAGTGGAAATTGGGACGTAATGAAGAGGGAAGGCAGCGGTGCTGACTGCGGGCCACATCCCTCTGCTTGGGTATTCCAGGCCAATTCAGCCCTAATTTTTCCCCACGAAAGCATACATCCCACCCGCACAGTCACACCCAGTATTACTCACTCAGAATCTCAGCCACAGTGATCCGCCGGTCGAACGTGCGGGTGAGCATGCGGCGCACAAGGTCCATGGCAGCATGTGATGAATCGATTTTTGAGTCGACTCATCGCACAAGATCCTCGGAAGCGGTGCTGACGGCGGGCCAGGGCTTGGTTTGGTTCGGTTCCATCGGGTTTCCTGGGCCGTTTCAGTCCCAGATTTCACCCAAAGAACCAGACAGCTCACCTGCTCACGCCCCCACCCCAACTCCGACTTACTCAGAATCTCAGCGACAGTAATCCTTCTTTCGTACTTCCGGCACAGCATCCGTCTGACCAATTCCTTGGCAGCGGTGCTGACCACAGGCCATGGCTGCGTCTCGAAGTCGAGCTCCTGCCACAGGATGCTCTTGAACACGTCCTCTGTGGTGTCCCCCCAGAAGGGCTGGTTGGTTCGGTTGGGTTAGGTTTCGCAGGCCGATTCATCCCCAGATTTCTCCCGGACTTACTCAGAATCTCGGCGACAGTAATCCGCCTTTCATACTTCCGGCACAGCATGCAGCGAACGAGATCCTTGGGAGCGGTGTTAACCACAGGCCATGGCTGCGTCTCAAAGTCGCTCCTGCCACAGGATGCTCTTGAAGACGTCCTCTGTGGTGTCCCCCCAGAAGGGCGGCAGCCCGCACAGCAGCACGTACAGGATCACCCCCCCGCTCCACACGTCCGCCTCCGTGCCGTAGTTCTTGGCTATCACCTCCGGGGCGATGTAGTTGGGCGTTCCTGCCCTCAGCTTGTAGCGCTCGCCCGTGGGAGGTGGATGGGTGGGGTGGGG